CTACTGGTATCTTGCTGTATCAAATGCTATTTGGAAGGCGCCCTTTTGGGCACGACCAGTCACAAGAACGAATTTTACGTGAAGATACTATAATTAAGGCACGAAAGGTAGAATTTCCTTCAAGACCATCTGTGTCTGCTGAAGCAAAGGTGATTTCTTCCATATGCACATCTACTTACAGTTACTTATCACATTAATTATCAGTTTAAGAGAGCTAGTTCTAATGCACTATTTTGTGTCTTTTTGGGGCTTATAGGACTTCATTCGCCGTTGCTTGACATATAATCAAGCTGAAAGGCCAGATGTATTGACTATAGCTCAAGACCCATACCTAATTTTCCCAAAGAAGTAATGATCACACCTCAAACTGAGGCTTGGTTTGGCGGTAAAGTAATATCTATCCATGATTTTTGGGTGAATTTTGTATAGCTGTAAAGGTTATGTACGTAGTGTTTTGTTACTGCTTTGCTTATGAGAATGGGCATCAAGTGATAACTTGTTGGTTCTCATTTTTTTGGGAAGTGTATGATTGGGTGGGTCTTAATGGTTCCAAAATTGCGTAGTTTTATGGGGGTTTCTGTAAAAAATTTGATGCGGAAAGCCCGGTAGAGCATGCAAAAGAAATCTGTAATTCATTCTTCATAAATCATAAAAGCCGCATAGGAGTTGTGGATTTGGTCAATGGTTTTTAACTCCTACGGAGTATTTTATATGTTGATTCATGTTAGTTGACCCTACTTGACCCCAAACATTTTTGGGACTAAAGCATGGATGTTGTTGCTGGACTTGTATCTGTAAGAAATATATGTTGTCAAACGGTAACTTATGTTCAATTTTTACAATTTTGATAATAACTTTAGTTATATTTCTATAAATAAATTTTATTTCTAGAAAGATAATGAAAAATACATTTATACTCGAACATGGTCTGTATTACCTAGGGATGGCCTCGGGCCGGTTCGGGCCCGACCGGGCCCCGGGTCTGTTTTGTTGGGCCCGAGCCCGAACCGGTGGCCACCGGGTCCGGTTCCGGGCCGGACCGGGCCGGGCCACCCGGTTAGTTTTTTTTTCCCTTTTTATTTTCTCCCCCCCCCAAACCCCCCAAACGGTCCTAAACATCAAGCCCGACTCAATAAAGCCCAAAAAAGTGAAAAAAAAAAACAATTTTTGGCCCGGACCCGGCCCGGCCGGGACGATTCGCCAAAAACTGTAACCGAGCCTAGAACCGCCCAAGCCCCCGGGCCTAGGCCCGAACCCGGAAAACCGGGCCGGGCCGGTCCGGTCCCGCACAGTAGCGGTCCGGGCCGGTTCCCGGGCCGGGCGGCCCGAACCGAGGCCATCCCTAGTATTACCTCATCGAATTACTTTAGCCCCCTTTTAGCCATTTAGGTAGACACTCGCTTTTTTAAAAAAGTTAGGATTAAAAAGTAAACCAAACTCTTTATCGAAAATAGTTAACAGTTGAAATTTGAAAACATCACCCACTTTTCAAGATCCCTTATGAAGTTATGGTATGCAATGAAATAAATTTTAGATTAGTGTTCATGCAGAGTAGAGGTAGGGGCCGTAGGTATGCTTGGACTCAGGCCGGGTGGCCCGACCCAGAACCGGCACTGTTCTGGCCCGGCTGGCCCGATGACCCGGATCGGGTAGGCCCGGCCCGCTGGGGTTCCGGTCCGGGCTCGGGACCCTCAAAACGTGAACCGGTTCGGGCGCGGTCTGGGCCATTTTATTTATTTATTTATTTATTTATTTATTTATTTATTTATTTTTTTTTAAGTTTTTGGGTTGGGCTGGGTATTTTGGGTCATTTGAGATGGTTTGGGGGTGGGGGGGTGGTGGTGGTTAGGGGTTCATTAGGAAAAGGGCAAAAAGAAAAATTTGAACCGAGGCCCGGCCCGGACCCGGGGGTTTACCCGGGCCGGTTCCGGGCCTCGCTTTCCCGAACCGAGACCCGGTCGGGCCCAGACCCGAATCGGCCCGGGTCCATGCCTGGCCGTAGGGGTGGACATAGTCATGGACCCGGTCTGGTACTCCGGTCCAACCCGCTACTATGCGGGACCGGCCAACCCGGTCCGGGCCTGGTTTGGGCCTCTCTTTTGGGTTTTAGGCTGAGTTTAGACTTTAGATGGGCTGGGTAATTTTGGGTTGTTTGGGGGATGGTTGGGGGGGGGGGGGGTAGGGTTGAAATAAATAAGAAAAAAAACAAAAAAAAACGGAACTGACCCGGCCCGGAACCGGTAGCCTACCGAGCCGGTCTCGGGCCTTATCCAATACCTTCCAGGCCTGAACTGGAACCGTGCCCGGTCCACCACTAGGTGGACATGTTAGTTTCCAATCAAAATGAAATTAACAATGCTTGATGTACCAACTCTTATACTCACCTTATGCCCACCATGTTTGTGAAATGTTATTTTTTTGTCTGTGAACTCGATTCACAGACAATATTTTGTTTGTGCAAAATGTTGTCTGTGAAGTGTGAACTGAGGTTCACAGAAAAAAACACTTCACGAACATATGTGAGTACAAAAGTGGGTATAATAGTATGTACAAACATCATTTTTGAAACGAAATAGAATGATATAAAACTCAATTTGAGTCTCAATTTGAGTCTCAATTTGAGTGTGACAATATTACTTTTAAACCTTTATAAACTGAAATGAAGCAAAATCATGAAAAGCATTGTCAAAATAAAAGTGTATTAAAAATTTCAATAAACTCTTTTGTAAAGAAAAATAATAGAATCAAACTGTACCAAACTGAAACACAATATGAATTTAATATGATGATTATGATCTCCCTAAAAACGAATGAAAATTGAAACGATCACCCCTAATTCCCAATATAAAAGGAAGCGAGTAACTCAAAATCTCAAATCACCCCTGATAGCGATTGTCGTCCCTTTATCTCAACTCCGACAGAAATAACGAAATCAAAATTCAACAGAGCGATTTGTAGCAAATCCAAGTTTGTTACCTCAGAAAATTGCCTTCCTACACAAAACCTGAACACGCAAATAAAAAATTATAGGAAATCTCAGAAGAATAAAAGACGCCACAGCATGATGACTAGGTCTCAGTCTAGAGATTTTCCTTAGGTCTAGTTTTAGGGTTTTATATATTTATGTTTTGTTTTTTATCTTCTTTCTTTTTATTTCCCTTCCCTTTGTAATGCTTACTTTTTATCAATAAAACTTTTCTTTCCAAAAAAAAAGGAAGCGAGTAACTATTTGTACGGTTGATGATGCTTTCACTTGGACTGGTTTTCTGATTAAGGTTTGGTCTAATTTTTTTAGTTTGATGCGGTCTGTAAAGCCTACTTTGATCCGGTATATCATTATTTATTTATCGCAACCTAAACTTGACCTTTTAAGTCTGATTTACAATAGATTTAAATGATCACTTGTTGATTGCGTGTAGGGGTGGGTTCGGTTCTTGCGGTTCGGTTCTGACCTAAAACCAAATATAGAATCAAAGTAAAGAGTTCGGTTCGGTTTTACACTTCAAAACTTGGAACCACGGTTTGATTGGTTCGGTTTATTTCGATTCGGTTTCGGTTTTTTCGGTTTTTTGCCAAAAAATTATCATTTGATTTAAAATTGTTATAATACTTTGAGAGATCAAACATATACATAGTATTACATAAAGAATGCAAGCACACTACAACAAATAAAATAAAAATAAAAATAAATAAATATGTCTTGAATTATATGAGTATGCGAGAGAGATAAAAAGATATATTATTAATCTACATTGTTTGTGACTAGTTCAAAAAAATTCATGAGTATATAGTTATATACGTTCTATGTGATATAGTTGAGATGAATATTTATTGTTTCATCATCAATATGAATTCTTTAAGTTAAATAAAAATAAAAGTTAATTAATACTAATAACTAGTAAAAACATATTATCATCATTTCGTATAGCTACATTATTACGGAAAATGAATGTGTAAATGAATTTATAAACTAAACTAAACATAACACAAACATTATTTCTCTAGCACAAGAAAATCAAAGACTATTAATGATATTAGGATTTGCTAGGATTAATGCTTAACAATTGACAAATAAATTTTATATTTTAATTAGTTCGGTTTGTTCGGTTCGGTTCGGTTCGGTTTTGAAGAGTAAAAATCAAAACCGAACCAAACAACTACGGTTCGGTTCGGTTTTTTACATTCGGTTTCGGTTTGTTAGCGGTTCGGTTTTATTTGGTTACGGTTCGGTATGATTTGATTCGGTTTTCGGTTTTCGGTTTTTCGGACCCAGCCCTAATTGCGTGAGACCAAAACCAGTGCAATAAAAAAGTTATGGTAAATAACTTAAAATAATACTCCGTATGAATCATCAAGAATAATATGTACTTTGGAAATAATTTTTAACTGTATATATATAACAAAAGCGAGACATGGCAACTTTTCACTAAAAATCTACTCGTTAAGTCATTAACAACAGATTTCAAATATCAAATAAGTGGACATATTTCCAAATATGATTTATTTGATGATTTGATTAGTTTTTTATATTTAAAATGACTAATTTTCTTGCCGAAAAGTGATCCTCTTATTAGAAATCATTACCAAAGTATGTATTATTATTGATTTATGAGTGTTAGTTGATACTTTCTTCGTATCACAGTAAGTGTCTCACTTTTCTTTTTCGACTATATCAAAATAAGCGTCTCACTTTCATGTTAGAAAATAAGTTCACCCAAAAGCAGTTACAGTACATAAAATAAACAGTACTATTACAATATCAATAATTTGTTACTTTTTTTAAAAAGTGTCAAAAAAAACTTATAGATTATTATAAACTACGTGAAAAGCCTATTGGGGCACATATTCTAATCCGGAGGGAGTATTATTTAAAACTATTTCCCAATAAAATAAAAATCTATAAAGAAAAACTAAAATGACCATTTAAATCTAGAGTCACATGCTTATTAGAAAGTTGACTAATAAGAATGTGATAGACCCAAGTCCAAAACAGGTGCAATTTTACACCCAAATTTGACTTCACTTTTGGACTTGGTAACCACCCGAAGCTAAACTCTATCGTCCAGCCACATGAGACGGGTTGCTTCGCCGGGGAGCTCTTGGCCTGAAGAGCTTTGGAGGAGTTGCTAAAACAAACGGGATGAGAGGATATTCCGAAGTAAGACTGTTGGCCGCTGGTGGAGACATTTCCCACCTTCAAAAGGAAATGCGGACAGGGTAGGGCTTGGCAGAGGATTCGAGAATAGGGTGGTTCCGCCTAGCAATTTCCATAGCCGTTCAAGCAGTCTCGGAATTTCATTTCATTACTCTAAGTTTTGAAAATCTAGAAAAGTATGGCCATTTCACTCCAGCTTACTTCAATTTCTTCAACTGCGTTATTGAGAACCATAAGCGTCTATTTCCTTCCTATCCCAATTTGCCGCCGGTTTCATACTCATCCATCCGCTCTTCAAAACGACGACGTAGATAAAATCTTCCGCATCGTCACTACATCAAGAACCGCAGAGGACATGAAACAATCGCTGAAATTGTCTCAAATTTCTATCTCAAATGAAACGATTGACAGTGTACTGAAAAGGGCGAGATTCTCTCACTCCAACCCATCATACCTCCTAGAGTTTTTCAAGTTCACTTCAAACAGGCGCCAGTTTTTCCACACTGCTTTCTCATACGACACTATGCTCTACATCCTGGGTAGAAACAGGAAATTTGACGAAGTGTGGGAGATTCTAAAGGAAATGAAGAGAAAAGACCAGTCTTTGATCTCTTCAAGAACTGTTCAAGTGGTTTTAGCTAGGGTAGCTAAGGTTTGCTCTGTTTCGCGGACAGTTGAGTCCTTTTGGAAGTTCAAGAGACTTGTTCCCCAATTCGATACCCATTCTTTCAATGCTTTGTTGAGAGCATTGTGTCAGGAAAAGAGTATGGCAGATGCAAGGAATGTGTACCGTAGCTTGAAGAAGGACTTTAAGCCGGATTTGCAGACCTTTAACACACTCTTGTCTGGATGGAAATCAATTGAAGATGCTGAGGTTTTTTTCTCAGAGATGAGGGACTATAATGTGGAACCAGACATTGTTTCGTATAACTGTTTGGTAGATGTTTATTGCAAGGGTAGAGAGGTTGAGAAGGCATTTGAGGTTCTTAAGGAGATGAGGAATAAGGACATTGATCCTGATGTGATCACTTACACGAGTTTGATCGGTGGTCTAGGGCTTGTAGGGCAACCCGATAAAGCAAAGAAGCTTTTAACTGAAATGAGGGAATACGGATGCTACCCTGATGTTGCTGCCTATAATGCCACAATTAGAAACTTTTGTATTGCGAAGAGGATCGGGGAGGCACATAATATTGTGGAAGACATGGTAAAGAAAGGCTTAAATCCTAATGCAACTACTTATAATTTATTTTTAAGATCATTTTATTCGGAAAATGATTTGAAACACTCATGGAGTTTGTATATGAGAATGAAGGAGACAGGGTGCTTGCCAAACACACAATCTTGTATGTTCTTGATCAGGTTGATGAGGAGACACGAGAAAACGGATATGGCATTACAGTTATGGAATGACATGGTTGAGAAAGGTTTCGGCTCGTTCACATTGGTGTCTGATGTTCTATTTGATTTGCTTTGTGATTTGGGGATGCTAAGAGAGGCAGAGAGATGTTTCTTGGAAATGATGGAGATGGGGTATAAGCCTAGCAATGTTGTTTTTAAGAGGATAAAGGTTCTTATGGAATTGGCTAACAGGGGCGAGGCAATTCAGAATCTATCAGATAAGATGGCTGCTTTTGGTTCTGGAATTAGATATAGGGCCGAAAGTGAGTCTGAAAAGTTTGAGCCCAACTTAATGCCTTGCTAAGTAAGTTTCTTCCATTACCCACAATTTATCAGGGTACTTTTTCTAGCTGGCTTTGTAATAGAAAAATTCCCAAACTATGAGAGTATTTCCCAAGTATTACTAATTTAATACTTGTGTGACAAAAGATAGGAACTTACGAAGTATTATTTTAGGAATGAAAGATGTTAGTCTTACTTGGGAAAGTGGCTATGTTTAAGTCACATTTTGTAGTAATGGTTTCCTTTGTAATACTGCATGAGTGATGTTTAGATGCACTACTGTCTTTAGTTTGATCCATGAAATTCTCTTGTTAATTTACCTTGACCATTTTTGTGCTAATTTATGCAGATCTGATTTGGTTACACATTTTTTAAGGTAAACATTGACATCTTTGAGATCTTGCATCAATACTAGAGTTGTTCTCATGTTTTCTCATGCCCATTTTTGTGTTTTCTCATATCTTTATATTGAAATCTAAGTTGGTTTTTCTGAAAACCATAATTTGTTTGCGATATCATTACTTTTTTTTAACTTTTGTGACATGTTGATTTGCTTCTGGATGAATTTAAATTGTGGAAGATCTAGGTGCCTGTGCAACAGCTTCTGTTTTTGCTTAAGGTTGTATTTCATTCAAGGGGAAGAAGCGAGCTCCCATTTGATTGAGGAAAAAGCAAAAACAGTGGAGAGGAGGAAGGATAAAAAATATAAGCTTTCCTCCCCTCCCAACTTCTGTAACCAGACCAAGGAAAAGTAAAACTTCCCTCCCCTCCTCTCCTTACACTTGTTAATGATCTGTAGAGCTGGAACAGTGATATATGATGCATGTAAAGATGAAGAAATGCTCAAGGACCTCAATGCGCATACGGTCCTTATCCGGCCAGTGATATATGATGCATGTAAAGAAGTCCTTATTCTTGCCTGTTTTATTATACACATTCAGTCCACACATGCACACACATTTGTTTATTTTAATTCGGCCATTTTTTGACCTATTTTTATGGACTGATAAAAAATGTAACAAACTTCAATCTATATCTATTGACCGTGGGATAACGATAGAATGGTTTTTGGTTAAATAGATATTTTATGAACAAAAAGACAATACCACATTCATCCTCCTTTAATCTCCCTACTTTGACTTTTTTCCGTCCATGCAATTATCTTGTTTCTTTTTCAAGATTGAATTGTGTGGGCAGTATTGTTGATTTGTTTCTTTTATTTCTGAAAAGTAAATCTCAAGCACACAATTTCATCTCTTAAAATGAAATTCTATCTTTCTTGATGAAGTACATAAATCACATATAATAATGATATAATAATGGCTAAAGGGTCAAATAGGTACATGAACTAACTTAAAGTGTTCAATTAGCCCCTTATATAGGAGGTTCTGTCCGGACGTCGCCAATTGGGACGGTTCCCGATGGAATTTTTTGATGAAAATTTTTGAGCATCTTCTTTATTAAGTCTAGTTTACCCATACCAAATTTAAGCTAAAAATTCAACCGGTAAGGCAGTCAAATGATTTTTTGAAGATAACTGCGTAGTTAAATTCATTAAAAAAAATTCATCAAAAAATTCAACCGGGAACCGCCCCAATTGGCGACGACCGGGCAGAACCTCCTATATAAGGGGCTAATTGAACACTTGAAGTTAGTTCATGTACTTATTTGACCCTTTAGCCTATAATAATTCAGTAGATAGTTAGAAACGGACGCCAGTTTTAAGAACAATATCTTATCTTCCTTGATCATTTTCATTTACCCCAGTGCCGCAAAGGCTCCCACCTACGGTGGGGTAAGGGGGGTCGGATGTACGCAGTCTTACCCCTGTACTAAAGCACAGAGAGACTGTTTCCGGATGACCCATAGTGAAAATCGTGTCCAAAATTGCATGGACTGACTGTTGCTTCATAACAAAGAAGCGCAGACATTTTAGTGAGCCAATTTGCTTTATTCCATCATATTCTCAAGCCACAAAATAATGAATCTTTTGCTTATCTTTCTTGATGAAATACATAAATCACATATGGCTATCAGGCTGGTAAAAATTATTCCAAGATTTCATATGTTGGATTTCAGTCATTGTAGGAGGAAAAGTGATATGTGCCAGGCTGGCTAAAGCTGAGTGATGTCCCAGGAACAAAGACAGAGTAATCTACAACAGACAAAGATTCACCAACTTGCAAGTGTCACCTAAGGACCCAATTTCTCTTCTGCAGAAGGAATGATCATTTAATCAGAAACCAATATACCTTCTTCTTCTTCTTCTTCTGCTCATTAAAGTGAGGCTTCTACTAGTTACATATGGATTTTGTGCCCTTACCTGTGCTGAGGCTTTGGAAGGATGGCTCAGAGTTAGTTAGACGAGGAGCCAGCTTGAAGTCATACGTTGACTATTTCAGAATCTGATCCCACTATCCAAGTGGACGATGAGATTGGTTATGTTTCAACCCTCCTTTAGGTTTATTAAAAACGGCACATATAATACTTAAATTGCTAAACATGTTAAACATATAGCATGCTTAAATTGCTTGCTAACTAGCCATATGCTGCCCCTAGCAAAAACCCTAGTTTATTTGCAAAATAAAACTCATTAGAGTATTGAGATTCATCAAAGTCAACCCGCCGTTGGGCGTAGCTCAACTGGTAGATAGGGGTGCCATAAGGGTAAGTATCGGGTTCGAACCTTGGCAACCTCTATGAGAGGTTACTATGTAAAAAATGCAGTCTTTGCAAGTACTTGAGCCAAAGCCCCACTTATTAGTTTGTGATTAAAGTCCAATTTACATCTTCTCAATGAACTTTCCGGCAATGTTGGGAGGCATCAAGGATAGGGTGTCATCCTTTTTTCCCATCAAATTCAACCCTTTTATTCTGAATGGTTTTGTGCTCGTATTTTCTACTAAATAATAGATAGTTCTCGCGGCAATAGTATCCCATAATAATTTTCCTTGATTGATTATGTTTTTTCAGTCCTATTAAATTGTATACATCTGATTTGGTAAGCTAGCTGTAATGCTAACCCTTTATTCATTCTTCCACTATATTCGGAACATCTCGAAAAAAATATCAATCTGATCCACGAAACAATTTTTTTCATATCTAAGCTAGATAAACTTTGTATGAATTCCATTATGTATATAACTGGACTTAATATCATGGGCTTATGAATCTGCAATGGGCTGTTTTGTAGTAAGTCCAAAGCCAAAGGGAAACAGTGGATCATAATGTGAATCACCAATGTTCATTGGGAGTTGATCAACCCTCTTGAACCAGGTCCTGGGTAGCTTCCCGCTAAACTCGTGGTCCCCAAACAAGACATCACTCACTCCTTGCCCTTCGCTTCCGGGGAGCCATGCAGCCACCAAAGCATCAATCTTCGGGAGATAGGGTTCCACCACTAGCGGTCGGCCAGAGATGAGCACCACCACGCACTTGATGCTTCCACATACGGTTGTTATGGTGGCAGGACCTGGTTCAGGTATGGTCAAGTTCATGCTGTCCCCTTCATATTCAGCATAGGGATATTCCCCCACAACCACAATGGCGTAGGAGAACTCATTGGATCTCATGAATTCGGTATCAGGGTTTTCGTTGTACACTACTTCTGTGGTTGGATCGACGGTACTTGAGATCGCTTGCAATATGGTGGTCCCTGCACAAACAACAAATTAAATGAATGCATCTGGTTTAACGAGTTTATAGTGTTCACTTACTTTGATAATCATACTAAGTTACAAGTTTTTTATATATAGAAAATGAATGTCATCATATTAAAAGATGTAGGAAAAAGTCAGGTATTTCATATAACACACAATTACATGAATGAATTCTATGAATATGATTTTAGATTCTATTATGTGAACACATTAAAGTGTTTCTGCATGATCCTTTTAATTAGCAAGTCAAGAGCAAAAGATTATTGGGGGTAAGGTGATTTTAACATGATGAAATGAAGATTATCTTTCTCTTAATTAGATTAGATTTAAAAGCTGTGAAAGGGTTAGTTTGACTACCATCAGTGATGTTGCCACCAAGGCCTTGCCAAGTGATAGTCCATCCACCACATTGGTAGCCTATATTGTCAGCATGAGTTCCAGCCACTAAGATTCTTGTTGCCTTCTTTGGGAGAGGCAGTAAAGGCTCACCATCATCACCACTATTCTTCAACAAAACAAGTGATTTCCTCACTGCTTCCCTTGCCAACCCTCTGTGATTCTAGTAAATGAAATGATGATATATTTAAGTATATTAACTAATGTTGGAGTTGTGTGAGTTAGAATAAATTAAGGTTAGGGATTTGAGATCAACCTGACTTCCTAGGTGATTAGATATGCTAAGATCAGCCCACGGATTCTCAAATAAGCCCATTATAAATTTGACACGCAATATCCTGGTTACGGCGTCATCAATCCGGTCCATCGGGATGAATTTGTTCTTCACCAAGTAGGTTAGGGTGTCGATGAATTCAGAATAATTGTATGGGACCATAATCTGCAAAATAAAAGGATTAGTTAATTCCATCAAATCAATAATTGAACCGTCTTCATTAATTTGATATGTGGACCATATATCTTATATAAGCTCATATCCAGAGTCAAATTACACTTAAAGAGTTTCCCCTCGTATGTTTTAGCCTCCTAATCACAAGTGGTTAATATTTGAAAATGTTGATCATATTTATCCGTTGACAGATCAGGAAAAAATCATTGAAGTAAATCTTACTTTTACTCTAACACAAGATCCCCTCTTACTTCTAAATAATTTTATGCACTTTTTGACAATTCAGCCTCATTATACCAAGTATTTATTATAACTTCAAACCGGCTCTAAAGTCTAAACTATGTATTATGTATAGATTTATTTACTAAATGATTATTCTAGGGAAAATAAGTAATTGGTTACCATGTCTAAACCAGCTTGAACACCAGCTAAAACTGAGTAAGTATAGTTTGAATGCGGTGGAACTGTAATTCTATCTATCCCTTCCGAATCTGAAATCACAAAACCCTACAAAAGCAAATTAACAAATACATATGATCATTAGACGGAAGTTATTATATACTCCGTATGATCTTAAATTAGCGGTATATACATATAACATATATACCAGAAAATATCATTATCTCACTATCAATAGTGGCACACATTAAAAATGAAACAATGTAGTTGATATTGAGCTTGTAAAATACTAACAAATGTGAACCAAACAAAAATTACTGAATACGGAGTGAAATGAAGTAAAACAGATGAAAACATATGATGAAACAAAAACAGCGTAAAAAGGTGAGACTGTTTTGTTTACATTTTAATTTAAATGAGAACCACTTCCAGAGAAACATGGCAGTGAATATAATGCATTAGACTCAAAATCCAAGAATCCAAAGTTACTATATAGCTATGCAAACAAAACCATTTGAACATTGGGACAATAATTATATAAATAAAGATTAAGCTTGTAAACCACTAATACATAGAGTATGTCATAATATAATCAAACTTTTAGATGAATATATACCTTGAATTTGAGAGTTCCTTTAAGGAAATTTGTAATGAGACCGCGATTAGAATGCATCTTCTGGCCATTCCAGCTAGAGTAGGAAACCATGATGGTGGAGACGCCTTTGAGGATGGAAGGATAGTAAGCAGGCATATGAATGCTTAACAGCCCCTCCCAGTCTATCACTGTGTTGCTTTCGTCTTTCCCGAACAATGTCCCGCCATCTCCCACAAAATGCTTTGCACTAGCCGCCACTTTGTTCCTATATCAAATCCATCACCATCTTATGTTTTTAGTTCATACATTACATAAGTACAATTTATTTGTATTGTTATTCAAGTAAAGTATTATCATCGTGAAATACTAATGGCATTATTATGGCACTACTTTCTAATATGGTAGTACTTAATCGTGTTTAGGGAAACACTGTGTGCTAATATATACGATACCACCTTGTTTTAACTACTATTTAGAACAATTTCTTTTACTCAATGAACTTACTTGCCACCAACATAAGGGTAGCCTTTCGGGTAACCCTCGGGAATGTCCCCTTGTAAGCCCAATATAACTTCAGTCATTTGTTTCACGACTTTCGGATCTTCACTGTAGCTCTCGTAACACCTTCCCCATCTTGGATCTCTGCACACCTTTTTGCATTTAAATTGAAACATATTAAGGATATTGATTTAGTCTAGCAATTCCATGCGATGTGCAAATTGAATCTTCTGTAAATATGTGTGCGCTCAATATTTTTAGTGTTATGGCAGATAACGTCTTTTGTAACGTAACTAATTACTGTGTCAATATTGAGTTGTACACTCAAATAGACCATTTCCCAAAGAAATGCCTACCAAAAAGCTGCAACCTACATAGATTTTTTCATCTAGCAAAGAAAATCTGAATTTGGGCACATTTATTTGTTATACGAAGTATAAGACATGATCCAGTTAATTTTGGAGAAATAATAGTGGACACATACATATGGGTTGCTACTTACTAGATAAAATAAGCATTTTTCGCAATTATTGAATCAGATGGGTGAAAATGTGAAATAACCATTTCAATTAAACTGGACTAACTATGTACTTTGCCAGTGTAGATAAAATTATAAGTGATTGTCGTATCTATTACTCCCTCCGTCCTAAAAACTTAATCAATTTTACTTTATTAATCATATTTGTGTAAAACTCATAATTTTTGTAAATTTTTATGAAAGTACTTTGAAATAATTTCATATTAAAAAAATCACTGGTCAAACTAGATTGTCATTGACCAAGAACAGTCAAATGACAATGTTTTATGGAACAGAGGGATTATATGAATTTGTAATTGAAAAATAGTATTTCATGTTATATATTACCGCGATACATGGAGCAAAGGCATAATTTATGCCAGTGGCCCTAGTCTCAAGAGCAGTCGCAGCACCGATTCTCTTCACTAGTTGAGGATCCCTGCATGCATACAAAATTATATATTTGAAACCTTTTCTTCTTATACTATTACAATTACTACGTATAAATTTATCAACATATGGATACACAATTTTTTTAAGAAGAAGGAAAGGAAAAAATCGAGTTGTAATTACATTGTCTAAGTAACACCTATTAAGAGTTGAATTTGATAAGTTCAACTCTAAAATCAAAGGTCATAGAGTAGTATTCTAAGACCTGATATGCTAGTAGTTCATATGTGTATGGATGGTGTGGATAATGTAACACGCCTTGTAAAGTAATTGTTCATTAGAGCGAACTAGTCTTGAAATTTGAGTACTCATTCTTGAATTTTATGTGTTGATTTGTACTCTCTCCGTCCATGAAAAAAAACTTATAACTTTCCTTTTTCGTGCAACTCAATTCTGCACAACTCTCCACCACATAATATCCACTGTCTTAATTTATGTGTCATATGTATTATGGAAGTTTTATTAGGGACGGTGGGAGTATCTTTTATGTGACTGGTGTGAGACTTAATTGATGTATCATGCAAGACGGTTGCTCATTAAAGCAAATCAAATCTTGAAATCTGTATACAATTGTTGAATCTTAAATGGATTGATGGCTCACTCGAACTTAATTGACTATAAAATTGAGGTCAGTTAATTCCATATGATATTATTCCAAGATCTGCGTATGTTAATATTTATTTCATTGGTCTAAGGTGACTCACTAAAGTGTCTGTGCTTAACTTCTTAATTATGAAAAAGTATGATAAAAAAAATTATGAAGAAGCAGTTCACGCAATTTCCGTCACAATTTTCATCATGAGTCATATGGAAACAATCTCTC